GCATCCGTCCTGATTGTAAGGGGAACACATTCTTGGGGAGTGCTGTATAAGAAGCTATTTGAAGGTGTGATGCCGTCAAGTGACTCTGACTTCTCAGATGACTTCTCAGATGTCCTTATATGTGGACAGAAGGGCTGCTTTTACTTCCTGGGGAGTTTGGACCAATAAACTGGTCATCGGCAGTATATGCCTAACAGCATTGGGTTCAGGCTGGGATCAGGGCAGAATGCTGAGGCCTCTAATCCAGAACATTTTAAAATTACTCCAGCTCATCTGGGTATTGGAGTTACTCTTTCCCTGCTCCATTCCCTGGCTTTCCTGCCCTGTACCCCCTACCCCACCCCCACCAAAAAAAAGGATTCTACGTTTCCTAAATAATCACTCACCCATGTGTCATACTGCCTAATGCAGAGATTTGTACATTGAGTCTCACTGTGCCATAGAAACCTCTTGTTTTTGTTCTTACAAAATGCATCCCCCGTGGGCTTAGAGAGAAAAAAGTGTGTGTCCAAGAAAACTGAGTCAAATGAGGATCTAAGATTTTTTAGAACTTAAGAAAATTAAACAGTTGCCATCCAGTCAACTACAGCTCCTAGTGACATCATGCATGTCAGGGTACAACTGTGCTCCACAGGGTTTTCAGTAGGTGAGTTTTCAGTAGATAATCAGGTCTTTCTTGAACATTTTTGGATTAGTAGTTCATTTGTATGGCTTCCTGGTGTGGCGCTGTAGATGCACTGGACCACAAGGTCGGTTCGAGTCACAAGGTCAACGGCCCAACCCAGCAGCAGCTCCTTGGAAACCCTAGACAGGGTCGCTATGAATTGGAACCAACTCGATGATATAACAACAAAGTTGCTAGGACGAGTGAGTTTCCCAGCCTGCCTCTGTGGGTCTTTACTGCTTCCCACCAGGAGAGCTGAAGGGGTAGGTTGGAAAGGTGGTGGTGTGATTGAACTGGATTTCTGTTGGCCAGGCTCACGGGTAGACACTTTCAGCCCCACACTGCCATCTTGTGCCTCCAGAGCAAACTCCAGGACATTCTTCTGTCCCCTGTGTGAGCTGAGGGAAGGGGTACTAGGGAGCTCACCACGCCCCCTTTCCCTTCCACCCTCCACCCCACCGCCCCACTCCTTGTCAAGATCACATTATCTTATCTTGTACATCCCATTACCAGTGTCCCAGGTGTGGCACTGCAGGGTCAGCACTAGACTGCTAACCACAAGGTTGGCATTTCAAACCCACCAGCTGCTTCTTGGAAATGCTATACAGGGTCGCTATGAGTTGGAAATAACTCAACGGCACTTAAAAACAACAAGAAATAACGATGTCCAGAAATTTCCTGAATATTAGGAGTTTTATTGGTCAGAGTTCATCCACTTCTCTGGGTTCCTGATCCAGGCATGAACTGCTGCAGCCTAGCCCAGTCTATAGTCCTTTGGCAGCTAAAAGACTTGTTTATATGCAAAACAGTCACCTGGGAAATGACTGGCCTATACCAAACAACATAAAAAGCCATTCTGAGAAATGCCCACAGTCATTAGATTAACCTCCTCCTGCCCACTCCCTTTCTCCAACATGGGCTTAAGGGACTAAAGTACTGTATTTCACAAAGTCCACAGAATGGCTTAAACATTTGACAAAAGTGCCCAGTCTAGAGACAACATTGTAATGTTTCCTGAGCTTACCACTCAGAAATGGGATTGACCCTAGAGCACAGAGAACCTCCTGCTCGTTTCCCACAGCTACCTGCGTTTCAGAACCTCACCCAAGGCTCTCCTGCTGGCCCTGACTGCTGGCCATCAGAGTGTCACACAGATACTGGAAAAATTGTCATCACAGACCCAGGCAAGATCATGCCATTTCCTTCCTGCCATTTGTTCAGTGGAGCTAGGCTTGGGAGTTCCCCACCCATACAACTTGAACTGTCGAATATGCTCATCCTCTGTTTACTTCAGATCACAGTTCCAGAGTCCTAGTGCCTATAGCTCATGCTCATTGAATCAATTCTGACTCATAGGAACCCAATGTAGCAACCCTATTCCAGGAACCTCCTGGAATGACTCCTGAGGCCTCCTGCCCAGTGTCTGGTTGCTTCCCACCCATGTCATCATAGGACAGCACCAACTTTCTGTAGAAGATCAAAAGCAACCTTCCCTGCAAGGTAGAGTGAGGTCCCGAAGTCTCCATCATGAGTAATTTCCCCTTGTGTGATGCAAAATAGAAAACATAATATATAAGGAGGCTTCAAAAAGTTCGTGGAAAAATATCTGTATCTTTTAATTCCATTTTCCCCATGAACATTTTTGAGACTCTCTAAGATATAGAAGGCAAAGAGTGTACACAGAATGTGCTTTGGCCAACCTTGATTCTTAGGCTCTTAACTGGCTCTAGTTATCTGGAAGTCACCATTAGATGCAATCTGTCGCCAAGCTATCCTTATCGTCTCTAACATCGGTAAAGCTTTCTATACTCTACGGAGTCTTACAAATTCCTCTCAAGAATTCTTCTCATGGCTAGTACTCTTCTTTCTAATTAAATGAGAAAACTTGCTGAGAGAGATTAGATGTCTTGCCCTAGTTCATACAAATGGAAAAGGGTTGAACCTGGACTCAAACTCAAGTCTTTGGGGTCCAAAGCTTGTGCCCTTTTGTTTCCAAGTCATCATGATGAACAAAGATTTACATAGTACCCTGGTGGTGCTGTAGGATAAACACTGGACTGCTAATCACAAGGTCAGCAGTTCAAACTCACCAGCTGCTCTTTGGAAACCCTGTACAGACTCACTAAGAGTGGGAACTGATTCCACAGATCAAGAACAAAGTGTAGTGCTGTAGAATAAGCATTGGATTACTAACTGCAAGGCCAGTGGTTTAAGCCTACCTGGAAAACCCTATGTAGGGGCTGCTGTGAGTCAGAACCAACTCGCTAGCACTTCATACCAAAAGAGATTTCTTAAAGAACCTTGGCAGTGCTGTGAGTTAGGCTGGTGGGCTGCAAAATCACAAGGTTGGCAGTTTAAATCCAGCATCCACTTCACATGAGAAAGATGAGGCTGTGTACTCCTGTAAAGATTTATATGCTCAGAAACCCTGTACAGTGTCACTAACTGTCAGAGTGGACGTGATGGTAGTGGGTTTGTTTTTTAGTTTGGCTTTGGGTAAGGAGATTTCTTAGAGCTGGGTGGCCTCTTGACAAAATGTACCTGCCAAACCAGCCACAATCCTTTAACTTCCCTAGGTAGAGGTGATAGAGATTCTCTCAGGAGCTCTTACTAAGATTAGGAATCCTTTATATTAGTATGGGGTCTGTGCTCAGTAGCTGACTGAAAGGTTGGCAGTTCAAGTCTATCTAGGGACATTTTGGGAGAAAGGCTTGGCAATCTACTTCCATAAAGGTACTCATTGAAAACCAAATGTTCTACTAGGACCTACAAGAAGTAGGCTGGCCTTACAAATCAGTTTTATGTCCACAACCCTATTTAACCCCCATTACTGAAACAATGAGAATTAGCCAGCATGTTATAGATGTTGTTGGTCAGGGGTAGTGACATACTCAGGACCCAGGTATCCTGACTTCTGAGCTGATGCCTGTCCCACCATTAAGATGGTATCTTGTGTTAAAGCGAGACTTGGGAGGGGACAGGTTCTTCCATTATAGAAATCCCACAGGAGGTAATGGGAAGAACAGAATAAGGTCCAAGATTCAGCCTTGTCCTACTGTCTCTCATGGCCTTGGAGGAGGATTCAGTATCATAGAATCAAGGACAGAAGAAGACAACACTGCCAGGGCAGGACCCACAGACACCAGAATTGAGTCAAAGGGTATCCATTTTCATTGTCAGGAAAAACAACAGCAATACCAGAACTGGCTGGTGAGAGCATCCTTCACCTTTCTCTACTGTAACATTATTTCTGGTCTTGCATTTTGAAAATTTTAGAGCCAGAAAAGACTCCAGATATTATTCCTGCTTTATAGACCAGGATATTGTGGTCCAGAAAGGAAAGGTGAGTTGCCCAAGGACACAGAGATATCTCCAAGCAAAGCTATAATTGAAATCCTGGCCTCCTGACTTGATCACAGCATCCATATGATTCATAATGGAACCTCTGAAGAGTCTCAAGAAAATCCACAGCCAAGAGCAAGTCAGTTTCTCATAGGATGTTTTCTCTTTGTGGCCTAGGAGGGGTAGGGAATCCCTGAGGCCTGTGAGTCCATCCCTCCATTCTATCTTTACGATGACTGTCTACGTATCTCCTCAGTTCTTCCCCTCTTTTTTTTCCATTCTCGCACCCAGTGTATACGCTAAGGGTATACAACATTTTCTCACCATCACCCACCCTGCAAAAGAGGCTGATATGGGGAGAAAAGGAGCTAGCTTTTGCAGAATTTTACTAGGTATCAGGTGTCATACTAATCCTGCACCTCCATTAGACCATCTCCTTTCAGTAGGCAGGTGGGCAGAGGCAAGTGAAACCCCACGTGTCCATTCACCTCACGAAACAGTCCTCCTTCCACCACACAACACACACACACATAAACCCAGGATCCAAATAGAGCCCGTCTCACAGTTTTTCTTTCTCTTCTCTAGATTGGGTTGGGATGAGCTAGCTAAGTTAGGATGGGAACAAGAAGCAAGGCAGGAGACTGGTCTCTGGGTTTCTGTCATTTGTAGACCCCCAGACAGCATCATCCTAGGCTTTACTGCTATCACATCTGCTATCTGTATGTTCACAGATAACCCTCATCAGGGACACAGGCAGTTTGAGTCTTCTTGACTCCCAGCATATGAGATTGGGCGCTAATGAGAGTAGCTCTGAAACCAGAGGTAGCTGTGATATCAAGAGTATGGGCAGTCATTCTGGCTTCCCTACCCAAACTAGGTCCCCACTAACGCTTACCCTCACTCTCCCAGCTTTCACACCTGGTGCCTGAGATGGAGGAGGATTTCCGCTAGCCCTGTCCGCTAGTGGTCAGTACTAGACTCTAGGGAGTTGGCCCTAGAAGATGCCCATCTCACTGATGGCTTCCCCACCTGCCTGCTGTAGGTCCTTGGGTGACTCTTCAGGCCCAGGTCTCCTACTGAGGCTGAGGTTGAGGGTGGGAGGACAGCTGGAACGGGTAAGCAGAGTGGTACGGCGGCTTGAGAGGCTGCCGTTGGAGAACTGCCTACTCATCTGCGGCTGGAGACCCCCACAGCAGGCCAGACGGCGCAGGGGGCGCGGCAGCAGGTGGCTGTTGAAGCCCATGTAGATCCATGGATTGCAGCAGCTGCTGAGGTTTCCCAAAAGCATGGAGATGGTGAAAGCCTCATTGGTTGAATCTGCCAGAAGAGAGGAGCCCAGGAAGTCTTAGAATTGCATAGCTAGAGGGAACCTGGAAGAAAGAGTTCCGACCCTCTCTGAATACACAAGGAGACTGAGTCCCAGAGAAAAGGAAGGTCCTATAACTACTTAAGAACAGCTAGGATTTGAACCTGAGACTCCAGATTTCAAAGTCTTATCCCTTTGGGGTTTTTTTCCTTCTTTATATCTTGAGGGTAAGCACTCTTGGTGTGGCACTGTAGGATCAGCACTGGACTTTGAACTATAAGGTTGACAGTTCAAACCCACCAGCTGCTCTTCGGAAACCCTATACAGTAGCTACGAGTCGGAACCAACTTGGCAGCCCTAAACAACAAGAACAACATAGGTTAAGGGTGGGAGCTGAAGTTTGCCCCAAGCTGAAGTTGGGGAAACACAGTCAGGGCTAGCTCAGATAGGAGAAACTGTCTTTGTTCCAAAACCTAGGCCTTGAATTCCCTTTATGAGGCAACTTTTATAAACATGATTATAGAAGTTCAGGTTCCTTTTATCGTCATCCCTATTTATGTCATAGATCATGTGCCAAGGAGCTCTGAAAGTGTAAGTGGTTATGTGTCAGGCTGCTAACCTCAAGTGTTGTTGTTGTTACGTGCCGTTGAGTCGGTTCCAATCCATATCAACCTGTATAGGGTTTCCAAGAAGCAGCTGACGAGCTTGACTTTGCAGTTCAAACGACTTTGCAGTCTGATGCATTAGCCCACAGCGCCACACCAGGACTCCTAGGATAGCAGTTTGAAACTACCAGTCGTTCCTTGGGAAAAAGATGAAGCTTTCTGCTCGCAGAAAGATTTATGGCCTCGGAAACCCTATGTAGGGATGCTATGAGTCGGAAGTGACTCCACAGCACACCACCACCACCATAGATGTGCACTGCCATTTGGATTCTGTGCTCCTTAAACCTTCAGAGGCAATTCCACTCCTTTGGTCATTTAGTCATGTGAGCTGTGATTCCCAACTCTGTGCAAGACCCTAGGCTGTGGACCTGGTAGGACATTCAGTGGAGATGGAGTGACCTTCAGGGACTCATGCCATCATCTCCAACTCCAGCAATGGAGCAGCTTCAAGGTACAAGGCATCCAGGAATCCTGTTCCAATCCAGTGTCCTCAGGAATCTGTGCCTGGGAAGGTGCCTGCCTACAGAGAACAATGCATTTCTCTCTTGGGCAGTCAAAATGCAAGAATTCAAAAAGACTGATAAGATATTTCCCAGGCATAATATTCTTTCTAAAGACTAAACGAAACTCATGCCAATGGTCAGTTAGTGGGATGGGTCCCAGTCTCCTGCTAGATGCATCGCGATGGCAGCTAAGTCACAGGCCAGGCGGAGTTACCTAGCTTTTCAGCAGAGATTGTAGAATCATTGAATTCAGTGTCAGGGTTGGAAGGGATCTTAGGGGCAGACTGTCCAGTTTTCACCACACAGTTAATAAGAACCACATCTTGAACCTAGGTCTTCTAGCACTAAGCCTTAGATCCTGCACCCCACCATAGTTTGTACCCAGCCAGCAAAGTCAACAGCCAAGACCACATGCCTACTCTGTACAGTACTGTGAAAGCTTCAGCTTCATTGATTCCTTGTGCACATTACCCAGTCCTGTGTACATAGGTGTGACCACTCATGGTCCAAGGGACGGGAAGACACAGGGTGAGAATACAGTCTGAGGCATGGAAGTGAAGGTAATGGAGGAGCACCTGTGAATAAAAGAGGGCCCTGCTTCAACAGCAAATAGTCTCCTTGGCTTGGCTGAGATGCAACCCTGCTTCCCAGTTAACATAACAAGTAGGGGCTGCAGAAGACTTGGGGTGTTGCTTTGGTTAAAAGAGTGGTATAAGCTTTCATCCCTTCCACTCCATTGATGTGTATTTAGTGCTCAGTTTAGGCCAGTAGTGGAGAGGTGCCACTGGTTCCTGCATTTGGAAGCATCTGTTTGGTTGGTCCTCTGTGTCAGCTAGGCCCCATGCAGGGACTACACACATGCCTCAGAGGTAGCACCAGCATCTGTAACAGCTCCTTGCTCCACTCTCAGCCCTGGAGGGCAGGTCCATGATGCCCAACCACAGGCAGCCATTGTTGTAACTCAGCTCACAGTCCGGGGCAGTTCAGGGGCAATGAGACAGGTAGGTTTTAACTAGTCTCAAGGACAGAACTGTGTGTGCTGGGAAATCAATCTTAAATAATGAATCACAGACCAATCAAAAAGGCCCAAAGGGCTCTCAGTTTTCAAAGGAAGAATGCTGTCTGCAAGGTAACACTTTGATCCTGCACTCTAACCCAGAGGTCCTTTGTTGTTGTTGTTAAGTACCGGTTGAGTCGGTTCCAACTCATAGCAACCCTGCATCGGGTTTCTGAGGAGAGGCTGGTGGGTTTGAACCGCTGGTCTTGTGGTTCCCATTGAGCTTGTGGTCTAGTGTATTACCCTGCAGCGCCACACCAGAGGTCTTTGGTAAGTGGTATATCACGCTACACAAGTGAGGAATGAGGTGCTGAAGGACAGACAGATCAGGAAGATGGTGGACACAGCCGGCAAGCAGGAAAGCTCCACTGGGTGAGAGGCAGCAGCATTCCCATCTTCTCTTAGGTTCATCTAAAAAGAGTAGAGTCTCCACCTTCCCCATACCTGTGGTAACTTCAGCTAAGTTTGCTGTTGCTGGGAATAAAATGTGTCATGAAAAAGTTTGGCCCATAAATAGGTCTCTTCCATTCAAGTCCTGGGTCTGTCACTTACTAGCAGTGACATTCTGAACCAGTTAGGCCACTGCAGACTTCTGGTGTGGCAATATAGGGTAAACACTGCTAATCACAAGGTCAGCAGTTCAAACCTACCAGCAGTTCATCAGAAACCCTACACAGATTTACTATGAGTCAGAACCAACTCGATGGCGCTTAATGACAAACAAGAAATTAGCGTGAAGACTGAGAGTGGTCAGTGCTAAGAAGCCCTTCTTCCTTCTTGGCCAGAGCAGGGAGGTTCCTACAGTTGATTAGAATGAAAATGTTCATTGCAAAATGGGTAATTTTCAAACAGGCCCTCCTCCAGACTGAGATTTAAACAACAACAACAAAAATGGTTAAAAAGGTATAAGTGGACTGTGACCATTTGGTATTTTTTTGTGTCCTTTTGCAGGGTCATGTAAAATTCATGAACAGCCTTACTTTAATTTCACCTCTCCAGAGAAGCAAGAATTCCTGGTGTGGTGTTGTAGGATAAAGGACTGGACAGCAAGGTCAGTTTGAACCGTAAGGTTGGTAGTTCAAGCTCACCAGCTGCTCCTCGGAAACCCTATATAGGGTTGCTATGAGTCGGAACCAACTCGATGGCACTGAACAACAGAGAAGCCAAGCATTTGTATTGAATATGTCCTAGGATGAGCAAAGCACAGATGAGAGACAAAAGCTTAAGTGAAGGGGAGCAACACACACTCAAAGAGCTGGTAAGAGCTGGCAGTTTTGGTCTACTGATGAGTGAATGTTTGGGAAGTTCCACAACCATGCACTGAGAGGACCTCCAAGGACAGTTCCATGTTATATTCATGCTGAGCCATGAACACTGCAGGGCCTCCTCCCTCCCATGTGCAACCACCTAGACAGGTGGGCATGCACTTGTCCCCACACTCCACTCCTGCTTAGGGCAGCAGGAACAGGTGTCTTAGAGCACCTCTCTCCAACACTCAGGCTGCCCTGAAACAGCCCCTGCTTTCCTGAAGACTACCAGGGAGTGCCTAGAGTCAGGAGCCTGCTAACAACCTCATTCCAGAAAAGCAGTCAGAGCAAGTCCTCCCATGTTCCAACTGGAGCCAAAGTCCTCTTGGAGGGTCATGTTTTACTTCTCACCTAGATGGGAGGGCAGGATTCTCTCCTTGATAATTCTAGAGTCAGGGTTAGGGGCAGAGAAGAGATAAGACCTGAATTCTCCTCTTCACTTTGCCACTTCCTAGTGGTATGGCTTTGGGCAAGTCACATTTCTTCTCTGAGCCTGTTTCCTCATTAGCAAAATGAAGGGGTTTGCTATGGATTAAACTGTGTCTCCCAGAAATGCGTTGGCATCTTAACCTGTGGATATAATCCCATTTAGGAATAAGATTTTCTTTGTTATGTTAATGATACAGTAGCCATGCCCTAAACCTCAGCATGTCTGAGAAATTAGCAGATTAGATATAGAAAGAAGCAAGGACACTAGAGGGAAATCAAGATCAAGGAATGTCAGAGTTGCAGAAAGTGCAACAAAGATCTTCCCCCAAAACCAACAGAGAGGCTTTCGCTAGATTTGATGCCCCAAATTTGGGCTTCTAGCTTCCTGACTGTGAGAAAATAAATAAATTTCTGTTCTTTAAAACCACCCACTTGAGGTATTTCTGTTATAGCAGCCCTAGAAAACTAAGACAGGGCTGAACTTGACATTTCAGGATTGTGACGTGCCAACTAGAAGTAGTTGTTGAAGAGCCCAAAGTCATGTCCTGTTGCAGAAGGAAAGAATGCTGGGAAAGATGGTTCTTAGGTCAGAAATAGCCCTACTGAACTGGATTATTTGAAAATCCCTTTAAGTTCTATCATTCTGACTCTAAAGCTCATTTAGCAAACTAGTAGTTGGTTGGCCAAGTCTGCCAAGGGTCGTTTTTCATTAGGCCCATGTGGTATTTCATGTTTTTTAAATTAATCACCAAAAATTTTTAAATCAGGAGCTGTTACAACACACACACACACACACACACACACACACACACCAATTCATGTGGCATCGGTTGGCTGGATGGGAGTTGGAGCTGACCCTGGGATGCATTAAGCTTGCAGCCCCTGTCCTATCATCTCATCCTCTCTTCCCACTCATCTCTTCCTTGTCCCCTTCCACCCAGACCACACACTTGCCTTCTTTGGGGGCATTGTTGTCCCACACGGACCACATCTGGACACTAAAGAAGGGTGCCCAGCAGACGATATAGGCCAGCACAATGACAAAGGTCATCTTCACGGTTCGGATCTTGGCCCTGGAGATGGTGCTGATGCTGCTGACCCGGGATGGCAGCCCCCAAGTTGCTGCAGCCGGGGCCATCTGGGAGAACCCATCCCAAGTCCTCCAGCTCCTTCCCACCCTCCAGGCCTGTGTCTTGACTTTCAGGTTCTTACAGATCTCGTGGTAGATGAGACTGTAGCAGGCTGTGAGCACAGCAACAGGCAGGACAAAGATGGTCAGGGTGGTCCAAGTGATGTAGGCCCGTGGCCCCCAGGGGAAGCGGAAGTCTGCCCAGCAGTCCAGCACCCCCGAGCCCTTGATCACCTCTCTCAAGGAAAATATGAAGACTTGAGGGAGGCTGAGGATGGCGGCCAGCAGCCAGGGTGCTGTGATGAGTGGATAGGTGGACTGGATGGGCTGCTGGACGCTGCGCAGGGGGTGGCAGACAGCCACATAACGGTCCAGAGTCATGGCCAGCAACATGTAGGTGGAGGCAAACATGCTGAGCACTTGCAAGTATTTGACGGTCCGGCAGAGGAGATCAGGGCCCTGGAAGCGGTAGGTAATGTCCCATAGCAGCTGGGGTAGCACCTGGAAGAGTGCCACACCCAGGTCAGTCAAGGCCAGGTGTAGTACAAACAGGTGCATGCGGGAGCGCTTGCGACTTGGCTGCCCCAGAGTCAGCAGCACAGCCAGGTTGCCTCCTGTGGCCAACACCAGGACAGTGGCCAGGACCCCAATCTCCATCTTGGCCAGCTCCTCATCCCGGCCGAGCCAGAGTGTTGTGGCATTGGGGACAGAGAGGGTGCCTCCAAGGGTGGGGATGGTAGTAGCCCAAGGGGACCCGGAATCCATGGTGGGAATTTACTGGAGTGAAGAAGAGAGAGAAAAATGGTGACGTTAGATGGACGAGATAGAGTGGCTTAGTAAAGGTTTAAGCTGGAAAGAGAAGAGAAAGGTGAAAATAGTTAAGGGTACAGGAAGAGAAAGGACACGGAGAATTGAGATTTTTTAAAGGGAGAAAATGGACAGGGAGCTAAGAGAGGGAGGAGTCCTAGAGGAGGCAGGGAGTCAGGATGGAAAGAAAGGCTGAGGCTCTGAGGGTGAGGCCTCTGGAGGGGAGAAAAGGAGCCGTCACTATCGCTAAATGCCCCCAAATTCACTTCCCTCAAACTTTTCTAAGAGTGGAAAACAAAAGCATCTAAGCCTGTTCCTCTTTGCGCAGCGGGGGAGGAGGCGCGGGCCCGGAGAGGTCTGTGTCGCTCCCGGGGCTGGAAGCTCTAGCAGAGTCCTCGCGCCCCAGCCAGTCCAATGGCTGCCGGGGTAGCGCGGTCTTTATGGGCTTCCAGCTCGAGCACAGCGGGCTCGGAGCTCGCTGGTTGGCTCCCGCTGAGGAAGGCGGAGTGAGACAAACATACACCTACCTCTGGGAGCAGGCGGGACACGCGGACGAAGCAGCGCCCCCAGACGGAGCTCTTGGGAGCAAAGTCCGACGGCCAACCCTGGTAGAGGACTTGGAGTCCTAGAAGGTTGGAAAAAAGGTGAGAACCTGTGTGATAGTGATAGTAGAGAAGTGGGGTGTGGGTTATGGGGAGGGGAGGGTGGAAGGAGCTAGACGTGGGAGCGCTAGTGCGCGCAGGACAGGGGACCAGAGGAGAAATTTCAGGCAGTGGTGGGTCTCTGACAGTGTTTGTGTCCCTGGGGGAAGTCTTAGGCTTGGCGATGCTGAGTACCTTTCTTACGCCAGACCAGTCACTTCAGACTTCCTAAACTCAGTTCATAGCCCTGTAAGGTAGAAAAGTGAAGCTCAGAGATTTATATGACTTACTCTATGTTGTTGTGAAGTGCCATCGAGTCGGTACCGACCCTGTATAGGGTTTCTGAGGAGCAGCTGATGAGCTTGAACCGCCGACCTTGCAGTTCAAACGGCTTTGCAGTCTGCCGCATTAACCCACAGCGCCACACCAAGACTCCATGACTTGCTCTATAAGACTGTCTCATTAGCAAACAATAGAGAAGGATCTAAGGAGCCCTGCTAGCATAAACTGGGCGACTAACTACAAGGTCAGCAGTTCAAATCCACCAACCATTCTGCAGGAGAAAGATAATGCTTTCTTTGCCTTTAAAGATTTACTGCCTTGGAAAGCCTATACAGGGTAGGAACAGACTCAGCAGAAGAGTTGTTGTTGTTAAGTGCCGTCAAGTCGATTCCGACCCAGAGCGACCCTGTATAGGGTTTCCGAGGAGCAGCTGGTGAGCTTGAACCGCTTGTAAGGATTTTTGTTTTTGTATGTTATTTATTGGTCCTTACAAGTGGACCAATAAATAACATAAATGGAAAAATGACTGAAGTTGTTAAGACTTCATTTCACTTGGATCCGCCATCAACACCCATGGAAGCAGCATTAAAAAAAAATCAAAGGACACATTACATTAGGCAAATCTGTTTCAAAAACCTCTAAAAAGTATTGAAGAGCAAAGATATCATCAGTTTGAGGACTAAAGTATACCTGACCCAAGCCACGGTATTTTCAATAGCCTCATATACATGTGAGCGTTGGACAGTGAATAAGGAAGACCAGAGAAGAATTGTTATATTTGAATTATGGTGCTTGTGAAGCATGTTGAAAGTACCATAGATGGTCAGAAGAACAAACACGTCTGTCTTGGACAAAGTACAGACAGAACGTTCCTTAGAAGCAAGATGGCAAAACTTGATCTTTCATGATTTGGACATGTTGTCAGGAGGGTCTAGTCCCTGGAAAAGTATGAGGTACAATCCATACTGAAGGCTTAGTCTTTGATCTTCATCAGGAACTATTTCAATTCCTCTTCACTTTCATCACTCAAGGTTGTATGATCTGCATATTACAGGTTGTTAATAAGTCTTCTTTCATTCCTGATGCCATGTTCTTCTTCATATAATTCTGTTTCTCAGCATACAAATTGAATAAGTATGGTGAAAGGATATAACATGGCACACACCTTTCCTGATTTTAAACCACTCATTATCCCCTTATTCTGTTTAGATGACTTCCTCTTGGTCTATGTACAGGTTCCTCATAAGCACATTTAAGTGTTCTGGGATTCCCTATATTCATGGGTACACTTGCCACTTAGGGAAATACATATGTAGAAATATTCTCTCTCAAACATATATATATATCTATATATATGTTGTTGTTAAGTGCCGCCGAGTTGGTTGCGACCCTGTACAGGGTTTCCAAGGGTGTAAATCCTTACGGGAGTAGAAAGCCTCATCTTTCTCCTGCGGAGCGGCTGGTAGTTTCAAACCGCTGA